TTATGGTGGCCAATTTACCATTCCAACTTTGTTGATATATTCAAATTATTTCGTTACCCCTACTGACGCAGCCCCAAACAGTTTCTTTAGAAACTATCAGCCTTTATAATTATGTTTCAGATAATTAAAGATATGTTAGTGCTCAATTGTTTTAACTACCGGTATAACAGATCACTTTATTGCAACTGCATGAGGTTCTGTACCAAAAAAACTCTTCATGGTTCATGATCATGTGCTTTGATTTCTTTCTGTAACAAGGTGAACCTGAAGACCTCATTAAACATGGCTTAAGAGCATTGAGAGAGACTCTTCCTAATGAACAAGAACTGACAACAAAGGTATAGTGAAATCCATTGGAGCTATCCAAGCTCAAGATAAAAAAAAAATAATCACACAAACTGAAGTGTTAACTGTAATGTATAATCGAAGATGGACAATATAATCCTTAAATTCTGGCCAGCTCTCAAATGCGAGGTGAGAAATAACTTGCTCAAATCTTCCTGGGGTTCTCAGGTTTTTCTTTGTGTCACAGTGTTGGACGTGCATGACTTCCTTCCTGTTGATTTTTTTTTTTCATAGAATTGTTCCATTAGTGTGGTTGGAAAGGATCAGGATCTCATGATTTATAGTGATGAAGGTGTAGCTCCTTATGTATCCTTTGAGTCAAAATTAAATAGTTTGTTTTCTTAAAGTTGTGGCTTCAATTGTGTTGGTTTAGGAGAGGGATGTGTTGTGTGTCATGCTGTCACTCATTGTCAAGCATATGTGACACATCAATCACCACAAGGAAACTCTGATAGATAATGTAAGTTGAAATAGCAAAGAAGGCCACATAGTTGACAAGTTTCTTAGCTTGAAACAAAGGAAATGAGTTTTGTTAGCTGTTATGATAAAGGATGACAGGTAGAAGCTCTACTGGTTGCATTGATATCTTTGAAACTCATTTTCTCTAGGTGTAATGTGTCCATTTAATTTCTTTTGCCATAAATGTACTTATCAAGTTACAAGTGCAAAGAAGTAGGTTGTGAACAGGCGTAGTCACTCTGCTTGGCACGCCAACGTCAGTGTTTTCTTTTCACTGATTTTCTTTTTTGACTTGGGCAACAGACTTCGCCAAAAGAGGGGGACTGCTTATGGTCAAGTAATTATAGAAAAAGATAGACTAAGGGTTCCCTGTAGCAAAATGTGTGCTGACAGCTAAGACCTCTTCTTTGATTAAATCAGGTAGTCTTGTTAGGAATGCAACACCTCACTCCTGTTACATAAATTCTAGCTGTATGGAAAATAGTAATGACAGTCCTATATCATTAAAGACATCATCCAACTTATTGCAATTTCATTGTTTCACCACTAAGAATATCAGAAGAGCAAACTAGTTATTATGTGGTTGTATCGAAATGTACTTTGAAAGTCATATCAGGAGAGTTGAAAAAATTGGACATTATAAGAACCCTTAACTTGGTACAGTTGGCTGGAATTGATCAAACAAAGAGACGAAGGGGAGCAGAGGTAAGAGCATCTGCAATACGTAACCCTCCAACCCCTAAGAGTGACTTGCCCCTGAAATGAGGCTAAAGGAAATCATTGATCACTAACTGAAGAAGCTCTTAATTATTAGGGGCCGACCATTTAACTTTTGAGGGGTGAGGGTGGGTGATTTTGAATAAAAATTTCCTGCAAGTGCTTGTTGGAAGAAAAAAATTGCATGCAGCCCAAATGGAACAGAAAAAAAGGGCCTTTAGAACGAAAAAAAATATCCTGCTGAGCAGATTGCTTGAAAAAAAATTTCTTGATGACCAGAAGTCACCCACCCCCCCTCAAAAGTTAAATGGTCGGCCTTAGGATGTTTAGGATGTGATGTGTTAACTAAGAGGAAATGGTAAGAATAGTTTACCCACCCTTCAATGCTCAAGGGATTCTCCATCCACATGGTGCTGTTGAACCTGAGTGATATCTTGGTGCCACAGGAAGTGTTTCAAGAAGGACTGTTATCTTCTGGGATATTAAGATTGAATGTTTAAGTACATGGATTTGACCATGATTAATATGCCATTTACCTATGAACCACTTTTGCACATGATTTTGTCAATTATGTAAAGAGTGACACTTACCTAATCATGATTGACTGAGGCAGAATTTCTACTTGTAACATCAATACAATATCAAGCAGACAAGTGATCAGAGTAAAGGAAAATATTGATTAGGAGTTGATCCAATCTAAAATTCTTATAACAAACATAATATTGGTAGGGCAGACATTGAGGAGAATTACTTAATATGAGATGATAGGAATGAAAGGATTTATAGAGGCAAGTCATTGTCCTTGGCAAATCCTTGAAACAGAGAATTTTCATCAGTAATCAAAGTTTAATGTCTTTACTTGGGGCATGGTTACCCATATTGCCTGAGCCAGAGGCTGGTATGAAACGCAAGACAACAACCAACCCATCCCATCCCACCCCAGGGTAGGACCATCCATCACACAGTAATCTCGTGCGTGGGAAATTAACGCTTCCTATTCCTAACCTTGCAGGAGACGGGACCTCCATTTATTTGTCCCTATCCGAGTAGACTTTTAAACACTTTTGGTGTTGGTCCGGCCGGGGCTCGAACCCTCGACCTCCCGCCCACCAGTCCAGCGCTCTCAGCATTGAGCTAACCGGGAGGCGGTTAATTGATGTTAAACACTGCATCTGGACTAAAATAAGAAGGAGGAGGGCTCTGTCTTGTCTTGTAACAGGAATAACAGTGATCGTAAAGCAAGCCCAAAACAGCAGAAATCGCCCAAAACCACGACGGACACAAAAGGAGTGAGTAAGTTTATTAATATTACGTGTCAAATTTTCATATTTCGGAATATCAAGGGCTATAAATCGACGATATTTCGTTCGCTATACTATCCTGATCCTTCCATATAACGCGTTCAAATTCTCCACGGTTCCTTGCCAAACTTAACACCGCGTCACAGAACGCTTGAAGCTTTCATGAAATAATAT